AGCGGTGGGAGGCTCCGCCCACCCACCCGGATGTCATAATTGACAATCTGCAAATCCGCAGAAGCTTCTGTGCATGTGCAGAAGCATGCGTGCACTCCCGTTGCAAACCGGTAGTAAGTAGAACCCACCCCTGGGTAGCTGTCATAAGAAAAGATGACTAAGGTAGAATTGGATTAAGCAGATGCATTTCTGAATTCCAGGAAACAATAAGTGGAAACATGCCAATCTGAAGATTTATGCTCTTCTGAATTGTTATCGAAAATGATATTCTTCTATAACAATTCAGAAGAGCATAAATAACCTATTAATACTGGGTGAAAACTGTCCAATTAATTTTAGCCTGAAATTAGGTTTTTGATTGTTGTCATCATTGTTTTGAAATGATGTTGATTTCTGTATAGAGGGAATTTTTTAATGAGTATTTTGAGTAATTTACAAGACCACTTAACTACCAAAGTGGCTAAAAATTTATCAGAAAGTCTCATAGAAGTATTTTTGCCACCATAATCAAAGTTTAAACTTTGGAATAGGATGGTTTGTAAGGCCCAAAAGATCTGAAGAAGTAAAATGAATGGTGTTAGTACAAACAAGGTTAGCTATACATCCTGTTCTTTTTCCCATCTCATTTCTTATGTTATTTGGCTTATTATTTATTTTCTATGCTTTCCATCCTACTTACCTGAAAGATATAATGTAATGAGTATGGATGCATGTACGCAAAAACTATCCTATTATTGTGAAATCTGAGTCACCTAAAGAAAGTATTATTTTCAAGAATAATTGACAAACATAATGAAGCTAACTTTCTGCTAAGAACCAGGCTTATTGGAAAGTAGTAATACAACTTGGATTGCATTGTATGACAAAAAGTGACCTTCTCTACTGCTAATAATTTATTTGATATTTTCCCTATCAGATGCTGTATTGGAATTATACAAATAACTTCTTAATTTTATTTTTTTTTGCAGTGCATTTGAATTTTTAGAGGGTTTTTTTAAATTTATTTTTTTATTGCACTTTTTCTCTTTACATATCTTTGTTACATATTTAACAGATCTGTGACATTATTCATACAACTAGAATCAATATTCAATACATTGTATACATTATATTTCTAAATGTTCTATTCCTTTATGTACATTTCCATTCCTTATTTCTGTTATCTACTTCAAGGCTCCTCAAACTTGGCAGCTTTAAGACTTGTGGACTTCAACTCCCAGAATTCTGAGCTATGCTGGCCAGAGAATTCTGAGAGTTAAAGTCCACAAGACTTAAAGCCGCCAAGTTTGAAGACCTCTGATCTATCTATTCATACCATTTCTCCCATACCGCATAATATTCCGAGTCATCCTTTCCCTTTAATATGAGTTTATCCATTTCCGCACAATCAAATATTTTTTTAATTACTAATCCCTCTGGCAGTATACAATCTTTCTTCCAATACTGCGCAAAAGCAATCCTTGGCACCGTTAATATATGTAACATCGGATATTTCATCTTTCTATTATATTTCGCCCTAAATATCCCCAGGAGAAACAATTCTGGTTTAAATTCTATTTGACTCTTGGTTAAATCCTGCACTATAACTTCTTAAATTGCTATCAGTTCTATTCAGTGGTGAAATCCAATTTTTATTTACTACCGGTTCTGTGGGTGCTGGTGTGGCTTGGTGGGCATGGCAGTGGAAGCATACTGCAAAATCTCCATTCCCACCCCACTCCAGGGGAAGGATACTGCAAAATCCCCATTCCTTCCTCACTCCTGAGGAAAGGATATTGCAAAATCTCCATTCCCACCCCACTCTGGGGCCAGCCACAGGTGGTATTTGCCGGTTCTCTGAACTCCTCAAAATTTCCGCTACCGGTTCTCTAGAACCTGTCAGAACCTGCTGGATTTCACCCCGGTTCTATTCAGAGAAAATACATGTTATAGAAATAAAGTTGACCTTACAAACCTGTTTTTACGTCTCTTTTTAGACAGAATTTCCACTGTCATTACTCCTTTCTTGTAGCATAAACAAGAACCAATATTGTTTCCAGCTGGGAGTTTTTTTCTGTGTGTACTTCTCTATTTATTTTGAGATAATTTCTATTTCTCACCTGGTTAATACAGTTAATACGGTATTATAATTTTGCTATAACATTTTGAACCATAAGCAATTTAACTGGGTGTATACCTAATTATTAAGCATATAGTTCTAAATCTCTGAATCTGGAATTTTAAATAAATCACACTATTAAATCATGTTTATCTTATATCAATGCTATGATTTTAACGTTTAATTTTACAGCAAAACTATTTAATGCACTGAAAAAGCTCCCCACCCTATACTACTTCAACCCTTTCATGGGGATAAACTCTTTCCAACTTATTACAAAGTAAAAAAAAAAGTTTGTACTATGCTGGGAGAATTTGGATTTTCCATCCACCCTTTTATTATTATTCCTTTCTCCACCCTTCTCCTTTTGTCCTTAGTTGATTTCTCTCCAAGCTTCTTGCTAAAAATGTAGCATCTATCCAATACATCACTGCTCATTTTTCAAATGAAAAGGTCTTTATACTAAAACACTGAATAACTGTCAGTGAAAGTGGTTCTTGTTTTATAATTGAAGAAGATATGGGAGGGAGGGAGGGAGTGGGGGGTGGAGAGAAACTGTATATTTAGACAGATTAAACATTTCCATACTATAGTCTTATAGTATATAATGTCATGGATTCACAATACCAAGCACAATACTGAGGAGAAGAAGCAGGATAAATTTTATTGCAATGGTCATTGGCTGCCTCTGTCCAAGAAAGAGGGACTCTGAACAAGATTTTTATAGAAGTTGGGGGCTAGAAAGTGGGAAATTTTAGGAATCCGATTGGCTGGTCACTTTAGGAAGCTAGGCAGGTCCTGTCAGTATACCTGGGGTAAGTTCTATTGTTTCAGGAGGGGAAAAGAGCTGATGAGGAAGTCCATTGTTAAAGGAGATGGACTGTTGAGGTCAGCGGCTGATACAGGATGGAAGATTGGGATCTTTCTGTGTTCAAATCCCTTCTTAGGACTAGTTTAAATGATAAGTGCAAGAACAAGCTTTTGTGTGTGTGTGATTTATACATCCAAGTTTTGAAGAATACCGATCTAATTTATTTTAAAATGGATAGCATTCAGGTAATCCTTAATTTACAATCAGCCACTTTACAATTGTTTGGAGTTATAACAGCCTCAGAACAGGTGATTTATAGGTCATAAAGTACTTCCTGCTGTCGCAAAATGTCCCTGTCTCCCGCCACCTACATTTTGAGCGGTTGGCAACAGAACTGGTTGTTCTGTAGTCACATGGCTGCAGAATGTATGCATTATGTTTTTTGCCAGTTTGCTTAACAACTGTGCCATTTGCTTAACAACCATGTGATTCACTTAATGACCACCATGAAAATGTAAAAAAATGAGTCCGGATATGAAGATATCTCAATTTACAATTACAATTTACAATTAGATTTCCAATCCCAGTTGCAATGATCTGTACTAATACTTTTTGATACTTTTGAAATCAACCTATTTCAGTGGGCCTCTAAGTATAAATATTTCAACTCAGTAATTCTTAATGAGATATACTTGAGAAGATTAATCAGAAAAACCACAAAAATATAGAGCCATGATAGTGCAGTGGTTAGAATGCAGTATTGCCGGCTAACTCTGCCGACTGCCAGCAGTTTGATGCTAATTGGCTCAATGTTGAATGAGGATCAGATTGTTATTATGCTACTCTGTAAATTAGAGAGGTTGTAAAGGACTATGAAGTGGTATGTAAATCTAAGTGTTAGTGAATGTACAACTGACATAGAACATTTATAATTACTTACAAATGTCATATTAATCTAATTTCTCTCATAATTCTGTTTTTTCTTTTCATAATTATATTAAACATTCCAGTTGAATAGATAAAACAGATAAAACTATGAACTATAAAAATAAAAGAATAAAAATAAAAAATAGAACCAAATAAATATAAATAGAAAACTTTGCTAAAAATATAGCAAAGAAATATACATACATACATACATACATACATACATACATACATACATACATACATGGAAGTTACTTCCTTCTTAATCACAAATAAAAACAATGTTAACATCTTATCACCTTTTCTTAAAATACAATAACCAATTTCTTCATCCTGTATCTCATTTCTTATCTATAAATAGATTGTTATAACCTCGTCCTGATCAGCAAAAATCCATTAAAGGTTACCAGAGAAAATAATATATTTATTCAAACCTTGATCTAATAAACACATTTTATATTCCTTCCTTTTACTTTTAACAAGCTTGAACTTTAATTTCTTCAAATAATGTCTAGAGATTATTTTCTTTTTCTTTTTCTTTTTTTTTCTTTTTGATTTGATTTATATGCCGCCCTTTTCCGGAGACTCAGGGTGGCTTACAATGCGTTAAGCAATAGCCTTCATATTTTTGTATATTTTATACAATGTCAGCTTATTGCCCCCACTATCTGGGTCCTCATTTTACCTACCTTAGAAAGGATGGAAGGCTGAGTCAACCTTGAGCCTGGTGAGATTTGAACTTGCAGTAATTGCAGGCAGCTGATGTTAATAACAGCACTGTTAATAACAGTGCTTTAGTCTGCTGCGCCACCAGGCTCTTCCCTTATCATAAAATCCTTCAGAATTTTAACAGAACTCTTTTAATCCAATATACGAAACTTGTTCAAATCACTCTTTTGGTTTGCCATTTATATATCCTTTTTAATTATTATGCCATCAGCTGATTTCATTTGTATACCTAGTGTAATATCTTTTTTCATAACATTCTTAAATATATTATACTTTTTATGATACTATAAATTATAACCTTTTAGTATAATTTTGTAAGATTGTGACTGCCAAGAGTTTTTTTTATTATTATTATAATAAGAAAGAACTGAGTGAATGAATAAATGAAGCAAGCATGCATAGTTTTCTGAGTTACTTTTTATTATTCTCTTCCAGGTTGGTGGTGACCAGAGTCAGGGGGCTGTTTTCCTACGGGAATTTACCTTAATAAGGAGAGAGAGTCTTAATGAAGATTTCCTTCCAGATTTGCTGAATAATAATCACAAAACTGAAGATACGGTAGGACTTCGCTATATTTCTTTTTAAAAATTTGTAGATGTGAAAAACAAACTTGGGAAAATTTTTAATCAAATTAAAGATCAAATGAGTCAACTAATTACTGCAGTTGCTGTTTGTACCTGGTTCTTCATGGATGTTCCTGAATGTAGCACTTCTAAGAACAAAGGGTTTGGGCCTTAAGCAGTCCTAGTTGATGAAGCACAAACCTAGTTGATGAAGATGTGTTTTTCATTGACCAGATATAGCAAACAGGAAGGAAATTTGTTACTGGATTGGTAGAGAGAGCTTTAACATCAGAAGTATCTAAAGTGACTCCAAGCCTAAAGAGAGCAGACTTAGAACATTGGATCAGTATGAGTCAATATTAGTTTTTCCTGTTGTTTTAGTATACTTAGCTCTTTCACCTGTCCTTTGACAATAAAACATTTTCTTGGGGAGAAGAAGGGAAATCAGGATAATGAAGTAAATAATCAAGATACCTAAAGAGTATGAACTATCTCCAAGAAATACCTTTCATCTTCTCTCTATTTCTCTAATTCTCTCTCTCTCTCTGATTTTTCCCTTCCCTCCTCTCTCTTTCACACACATACACACTGAGACTGTCATAAGTTCATATATGAATGGTTTAAAAGATACACATATGCATACACAAACAAGTAGAAGGATTTAATCTTATGGTTGGGGATTTTTGTTATGAGCTTATTCCAACAGAGGAAAGAATGACTGCCATGTTGACCTCCAATTGTCTCCATCAACTCTGGGATGTGGCTGATATATTTCTAGTGGGGGCACAGCAAGATGGGCTATACTACTTTGTTACAAGTCTTTGGAAGGAAGTTGTTAACACATCTATCCCCCAAACAGCTGTTGCCAGTTGCACCCTGAGCAGTGGTGGGTTCCTCCCGGTTCCTCCCGGTTCCGCCGAGTCGGTAGCGGTGACGATATGACATCACCGAACTGGTTCTGCCTCCCCGCCCCCTCACCCACCCTCCGCGTTATTCTTACCTTTTATTTGGCCCCACCTCCAATCTATTGCTGCCTCCTGAGTCCCAGCTGATGGCTAGAGAGAAAAAAACTGTTTAAACTCTTGCCGTGGGGCTTCAAAGGGCCGCCCTACAACTGATCAGTGTTAAAAGAAAACAAATGAGTAGACAGGTGCCTGTAAAAATAAATGGGTAGACCGGTGCCTGCAAAAATACATGAGTAGATCAGTACCTGCAAAAATAAATGGGTAGACCAATGCCTGCAAAAATAAATGGGTAGATCGGTACAGCTCTGCAAGCAGTTAAAAGCCTGGTAGACCAGTACCTCTGCTAAATCCTAAATAATTGTCACATGACCATCAAGCCATGCCCACAAAATAAGCCATGCCCACAGAACTGGTAGTAAAAAAATTTAGAACCCACCCCTGACCCTGAGGTCTCCTAACATCTCTTTTTCTCCTTTTCGGTAGAGACTATTGCGAAATTTGATTTTGGCTTATTTATCTTATATGATAAATTTATCAGATTATGGATTGTTAAATAGCAGCACAAATTCATTTACAGAACACAGTAGTCATGGTTGTACTACTAGAATAAATAATCATAGCAATAAAATAGTTTTTGCAAAGCTAGAGAATAAGGTTGTGCTGAGATGTCTCTAAAACTAGAAAATGTTAATATGCATGTAATCTAAACTAAAATTAGATATTTTGAATGACACATATTCATATTTGCTGAGACATTCTCTAATTTTACTAGATTGATTTTGTTGTTGTTCCTATGCATACATTGCCAAGAACCTCCACAGCCACCAGTTGTGCTACAACTCCTCCAAATGTTTATGTGGAAATATCTTGTAGTAAACACTGCACAATTCTGGATTTGGACTGTACACTTTTGGACCTCGCAAGCAGTGTAGATTGCCAGCCTTGATAGAATAAACAATGCAACAAGAAGTGGGCTATTGTTGCAGAGTAGATATATCTAAGCAGTGGCATTTTGAATAGGGTCTGTTATTGGGATGCCCCTCCATCAGTCTCAGGGGTAGGACATTGAAATTCACAAATATAAAAGATTTTCTGTTTCTTTACAAAGGATTTGGAAAAACAAAAGAGAATGTGATATAAATTACCTAAAGTATAATTTGGAATTTCAGATCTGTCAGCTTGTAGGACAAGGTAAAAATGCATTGCAGTATTTAGTCTCAGAGACAGCTTTCTTCAGGCCCGTCATTATTAAAATCTTAATTGAAAGGTTGCAGAGGGAAGAATTATTTTCTATTTCAGTTTGTACATCACTTACTATTAGCTAAATCATAGTTTAAACAAAATCTCTACTTTCCAAGATAATAGACTTTGAGATTATTATCACAAAATTAGATTCTGAAGTTGATTGCCTGTTGTTAGAAAAAGAATGAATGCTAACCTTTGATTTGATCGTTTACATGTTCTTTATCATCTCTGTAAGTATTTTGCCTCTGTGCAAATATCACTTTTTAAAACATGAGATGCAATTAATATTTTCATATCTGGATTACTGTACTTTATATAGAAGACATAATTAGAGTTGACTGATATTGTCCAACCCAACTATCTAATTCTGGAAAAGCTATTTTGACATTTGGAATAGAATATTCTAAAAATGTTTCTTACAAAATCAAGTGTAAGAAACTCATTGAAATTTTGTAACAATGGAAAAAAACAGACAGGATTTCCAAAAAAAGAGGTGGGAAAAATGGGATTTTTAGAAAACTCTCATTTCTGTACAGGGATGACTGGCTGCCAAGAACTAATTTAGAAGGTTATAAATCTGCCACCAACCAGAGATAAGCAAGCTCAGATTGTATCACAGCTCGTTGAAATACAACAGCTTTTCAAAAGAGGATCAATTTTACTTCTTCAACAGGTAGGTTGAGATCAAGAGAGGTAAACTATCAGGTAACAAATTCAAAGGAGGAACAAAAAATGAAGTAAAATGAAACCCAAGATCTGAAACATGGCAAAGCATGCTATTGGCAGAAGAAAATTAAGTTTTAAATAATTTTAAATAATTTGCTCTGAGTAATATCCAGAGGGAATAATAAGCCCAGTAAATAAGCCACACTGAGTGCCCTCTGAAGGTTTATCAGACAATAGCTGCAGTGTCTGATCTCTTGTTAACACTTGCATGCCTTTTGGCTAGCCCCTTAGATCTGCAAATTTAGCTCTCTGGTTGTTGTTGTTAGTTGCAAAGTCGTGTCTGACCCATCGTGACCCCATGGACAGCATTCCTCCAGGCCTTCCTGTCCTCTACCATCCTCTGGAGTCCATTTAAGCTCATGCCGACTGCTTTGGTGACTCCATCCAGCCACCTCATTCTCTGTCGTCCCCTTCTTCTTTTGCCCTCAATCGTTCCCAGCATTAGGCTCTTCTCCAGTGAGTCCTTCCTTTTCATTAGGTGGCCAAAGTATTTGAGTTTCATCTTAAGGATCTGGCCTTCTAAAGAGCAGTCAGGGTTGATCTTCTCTAGGACTGACTGTTCTGTCCCAGCTCCAGATTTCCGAGGATATTGACACACACCAACGGTCCTTATCAAATTTATTAAGTAACAAGAATAAACAAGACCGGCAAAGGTTGGCAACCAGCCCAGAAAACAAGATATGATAAACCAAAATACTCTGATAATAATACAAGTTGTTTCCAGCAAGAACACACTAGCTGCGTGTGACTTAAATAGGCTAAGAGAGTGGCCAATTATCCTCAAGCCCTACTCTCGAGTAGACCTCCACTCCTGCCTTTTGGCAGCCCTGTGTGCCCAAGCATTGAGGAGAGGCTCCTCCACATTCGCTCTCTCCACTGGAAGGAGCCTCTGGAGGTTCTGAAGGTCCTGGCTGAGTCTCTGCCTCTGGCATCACATCCTCTTCAGCCTCCTCGCTGTCCGACGCGAGCGCTGGCTGTGCAGGCTGCTGGCGCGACATCACACCAGCCTCCTCTTCATCGGGATCAGCCACAATCTGCGCAGGCCGCTGGCGGGGCACAACACTGACCGGTTTGATCACTTTGCAGTCCAAGGGACTCGCAGGAGTCTTCTCCTGCACCATAGTTCAAAGGCCTCAATTATTTGGCGCTCAGCCTTTTTTACGGTCCAAGTTTCACAGCCATACATTGCAACTGGGAAAACCATAGCCTTGACTAAACACATTTTTGTTAGCAGGGTGATGTCTCTGCTTTAGCTCTCTGGACCTTCATTTAAATACCTCTGCTTAGGACTAAGTGACTGAACTTCTCTGTTTGATTGACTGTCATTAAGACCAGTCAAGACATTTTGTGAACTTGCTGAGTCTGTCAGACTAGAGCAGGATAACTGGCTTCAATATTCTGAAATATTTAGCAACAAGACACTGCCACTTAAATGTTTTGGTTCCATTTCCTCTCATTCTCCTCATCTGAAGACATGCCTTCTCGCAGGGCCATAATATTTGAAGTATTTTCCACATAATGAATACATCCATGCTGCTGTCAATGGCTATTCAGCGAGTAGCCATGTTTCATTGCTTAAAAGCTTTCTGATCTGCATTTCAAAGAGAACGACAACATTTAAAGAAATTAACAATTTATTCGTTTCTGTATATTTGCAAGTCTTTTATTACTTCCCCTAAAGGGCTTTTAAAAAACTTTTTAACACAAAACAGTTACATCTTTTTAAAAATGAGTATAGGGTTCCTTTGAAATTGGTTGTGCTATTTTCTTTTAGGTAGCCAATCAGTATATTGAAGTGCTGTTAAAAAAAGGAATTTTCATTCCATAGTTCAAAATTCAAGTGAATCAGCCCACTGCTGAACTGGACAGGATGAAAGAAAAATAATCTTCAGAAAGGCAGTGCTATTAACCTTGTCCACACTAAGAAAATTACCTCAGCTTTATAATTATGATCATTGTTCAGTCATATTGAAATAATACAGCCTACATTTTCAGCAAGATTTATAGTGATCTTTGTAATCAGTTGCTTTCCTGTGAGAAGTAAGTAAAGTATTTCTGA